ATACCAGGGCTGTGGGAAAGGAAAGAAGTGAGAGAAAGGAGAAGCAGCCCCCCAGAATTAAACCAAATATACTAATTTGATAAGTAAGGGAGGGAGAGTTTCCTCTGGTTCAGCTGGATCAAAATACTCAACTGCCTGCTGGTGCCATATGGCCTATGTAGAGACAAAAAATTGTCTCCAGCATAGTCTGTTCCTTTCCTCACTCATTGCTTTGCCTTTGCAACTCAGAAAACTGCTGCCTTCCTCTCCTGCCCTCACTGCTCCTTCATATTCCTCTGAAATATTTCCCATTACCTTTCTCCTACTATTTTTCAGGTATCTTGCTTCACACACACACACACACACACAGACACAGTGCTTTTCCCTAACCTCCCTATACTGCTCTTAGCCCCTCATTGCTGAGGTGGAACGAGGTGCTGGTACCCAGAAGTGCCACCAAAAATGGGGAATGTGGGCCTGGATAATGTACATCCAGTGAGTGGGAAGCATTCTTGCTTCCAGAGAGCTCCCTCCTTAGATCTGTTTGGCAAAGAAAGCTGCTTGTATTGCACACAGGGGACCTGACTGATGGGATGTCTGTAATAGTGCTGGAAAGAAAAATCCTCTGAGTCCTTTGCCATCCTTGCACTGCAGAAGCTTGGTCTATAACTCTTGAATGATTTTGTCTGTCTCTGCCACAGGACATACAACTCCATCAAACTTACATAAACGTACTTTGTAGAAATTTATATGATTAACTGATTGACAAAGTGTCACGTCCCTGTCTGTTCTGAGAAAATATGGGGGCTTTGAGATTATTTCCTCTCTGAACTTTCTCTTACCTGAAAGCAGAAATCCTGTTAAAATGTATTAAGACACCGTTGGACCCATCTTTCTGTTCTACCTCGCCAGTGATTTATGGAGAGATGTGGAGTTTTGTGCTTTGAATAATCGAGTGACAAACTAAACAAGGAAACTGCTGTCTACTGAAGCAATGGGTGAGTCAAAAGTTAGCCTGCATGATGGGCTGACCTGTTCTTTCGTGTCTTCCGTGGAATCATTTGCATTGAGATCTCCAGAATTTTCTGTCATTGCTCAATACGTTTTTTTTCCCCACCTCCTGCTTCTTACCAGAGTGTTTGATAGGTTAGGGCAGGCTCCTGGGGTTACGTATGCAAGGCATATATATACATGCAAATAAATACACACAAATATACTATTTATGACCAGCAGGCATCACTGCCAGTTATTCTTTGCTGTGAGAACACACCTGGAGAAGGTAGGACATCAAATGCAAGTGCTATGTAGAGGGATTTGGTGCTGGCATTTAGCAGTTATGTCTGGCTAGCACAGAATTAGGGTTTTCCAGGGGTTTGAAGGGAGTGTAACTCTGGGATCAGATGGGGTATTAGTTACACAATGCAGCAGCTGCTGCTGTGCTCTGCTCTGGAGGTGTTGAAGGGAAAGGCACAAAGTTTGTATCAGCAAACGTGGGAAGGGTGGGTGTGATGTAAAGCAGCTAGATGAGCCACATCAGCTGCCCTGCATGTCACAGCTCCAGCCCTTCTGCCTGCCAAGTGGTTGGCAATGCAGGCTGGTGTTTCAGCTAACCCAGATTTTGTGCACCCTTGTTCTCTCACTTCTGCTGTTTAGAGGTGGTTTGGCTGATACTCGATCACCAAGTATTCTGCAGAGATCAGAAATTTCATCTGTCATTAGAGGGAGTTCTGGATAGTCAGAATATCTAATGATTGGAATGCTTATGAATAGGATGTTGTAATCTTAAGTGCTAAAGCACAGCTCTTGAGTAAATGGGATTTTCATATTTCCACTGATTTTGATGTAGCTAGGAAAATTTCCACAGCAAAGGATAGGTATTTTTAAATCTCATCCAGAGTCTTTAAAAGTGAATCTTTGGTCAGAGAGGTATTACTTGAAGTTCTGAAAGCCATCCAGGCATTTTTGATACAGACTTTTTGTTAAGATCAGTGGCAGCAGGTTCACTGCTTGACCTTGAAAATCTCAGCACCAGAAGGTGCTCATCAACTTTTGGGCCAATAATCTGAGCACAGGAAATGGAGGGAAAGGTCATCCACCTGTCTCTATATTCATTCATTTAGTGAGAAAACACAGTTCAGTACTTCTTTTCAGGATATTTCTGTTTGCTTTAAAAGCCCACAGGAAGAGCAGGAGTCAGCCTTGAAGGGTTTTGTGTTTTTTTTCTGAAATACAGCACTCTGTTTAATCAAAGACTAGAGGTTGTACCTGCAAGTGATGTTTTTATACTCTTTGTTTAGAGACTAATAAAGACTAACAAAGCCTAATATACTCCCACTATCATTTTGACTAATGACTGCTAATTTCTGTAGCTAACGTTCTGCTGTATTACATGAATGGTTGTAAAAAATGGCCCTGCATCGTTTGTTCTGCTCACCCTAAAATTTATTATTTTGCATGCAGACATTTACTGTTCTGTTCTATACAATCAGGAGCAGCTCCTCAGCCCAGATTTTGTTTGTCTTTATTAAATCAGAAGAGCTGACCTCTGTCATCCCCAGGTTTAGTCCTCAAATTGCCCACTGTCCAAGTGCTGCCTGAGGTAAATCCTCTAAAAGAATGAGTAAGAGGCTCTCAGAGAATTAATTCATGGTCCAGTTACTTTTACAAAAAGTGAAGGATTTTCCATTGATTCTGCAGCTTCTCATTTCAGGACTTAGGCATGAGACATTTAAGATCTTGAGAAAGCTCAGGGGAGATCAGAGGATGCTAATGCAGTGGATAGACTTAGATCAGATGGTAAATATGCTAACTAGGGGAATGTGCAAAGAATAGAGAATCAAATCCATTTAACCTACTGGCTCGTGGCTTCCCCCTAAAGCTTTTAACCTTTGTCTGCTACACTTGGCTGCTTTCCCTTAGAAATTTTAATTGCTGGAAGAGACATGCACACACTCTGCTCCACGTGTGCAGATTCAGTCTGGCTCAGTACCATTGCTGAGTGGAGTACAGGAATGTACAGATGTATCTGGTGCCTGCTCATAAACAGGGCTGTGGCCAAGCAGAAGGTTAAACACAAGGTGGAACACTTGCTGTCTGAGAAGTGATTGTTCATGACACACAAAATGCTTCATTGCATCTTTTGTTTGAAGATTTCCAGGTAATTTGGAAAAGAGTTTAAACAACACACAGTCAGGTTCAGCTGGGAGGTTTTCAAAACATACAATTAGCATCATTGACTCAACACACACTGTTACAGTCAGGGGTGCTGGCTGAATTTCTTGAAAATGTTCACTGATTTAAACCTTCATTTTTGAAAGCATTGGTTTTTTCAAACTATCTTTGGGTTTCAAGACCTGTATATAAAACTTAATTATTTTTCAAATAAATGCTAGAGTGAAGTGAGAACTGGTGAAAAGTTAAAATAGTTTTATCAGGCACTGTGAATAATCTGCACACCCAAAAACCAAGTCTCTGTTTGTTCTTCACTGTAGCTCAGTGTGCCAATTGCTCTCCACTTCTTTTCATGGGGAGCAACAGAATGAGAAATTTTTCTTCATACATGTTTTGTCTCCCTATGTAAAGTGCAGCTGGTCTCCAGGCTTTCTTCCTTTGTTTTTCTCTTGAATCTATCTCTGTCTGTTGCTCGTGTTATTGCAGCCGTGAAGGCCAGTGGCTGTAAAAAGGGAGGGAGAGACAGCATTTTTCATCTGGAGCAAAAGTAAGCAAGTTGTTAGGCACTTAAATTCTTTTTCAGCTCTGAAATGTCTACAGTACAACAGAAAATTGAATTTTCATTTCCAGCGTTATCTTTTGAAGATTTTTCTCTTAGTTGCCCTTGAGGGTCAAGCTTTGTGGATCACTTGTAGAGTGCATTTATAACAAATGAGAACTCTGTGTGGTTGAACAGTACAATGTGTGGTTGTTTTCTCACAGGCACTGCTGCTGACCTTCAGCTTTGATGAGAGTAACAATCAACTGGTGGCTAACTGAGACCAGCATCCTCGGGTGCCTGGGGCAGGGATTTTGAGTCCCAAAGAACTTCCTGTGTGGGGGAGCCTTCCAAGTACTGTATCATTATGGCATGTAAACAGTTTCTTTAACTTTTCATCCTGGTTAGTTTTTTTCACTGTACTAACTGATTATGATCACCTTGTTAGCACTGATGGAAGTGATTTTCCTACTGAGATTTTAGTCATGATTTCTCCCAGCAAGGAGTGGTGCAAATCTTTAACATAGCTGCTAATATTAAACAGCCCAGGACATCACTCTCTGGTGTTTTCAGTGGGGGGATGAGAAACATCTGTCTTGAATGTTACAAGGAAAAAAATACCTCAGCATGCAGTTTCATGTGTGAATCTGTGGTGTTCAGCAAGATGGAATGTGAACTCTTGGGGAAGATCATATCATTCTCCAAAATGAGGGGAAAAGGGCAAAATAGCTATCATAGGAGTGTGAGTCGTGGCTTTCTAAAACCTAATGTATTCCATTTTTCTGTTGGCCTTTGTTTTATCTTGATGTTTTTGGGGGATGGGGGGGGAGGAAAAATAAGAAATAACTTCATGCCAGAGTGTGATTGAATTAAGACTGTCATTCATGTTGCAAGACGTTATGAAAATATCCTGGAGAGCCTAAAATAGTCCAGAGAGAGACATAGCATAGCCATGTATATGGCTTCAAAGCTCTGGTAAAAGTCAGTGGGGTCACTTGTTTTGATTTCACTGTGATCTACAGTGATGTTAAAGCCTTGAAAATGCAGTGATAAGTGCTCAGTTAGAACTGGGTGAGCCCCCACTTCTCCTGGGAATGCCACTGTTCCTACCCGCCCCTGCTGACTAAGAAGAAAATTTTTAAAGCCAGGATTAAATTTACTTTTTATGCTTACTTTAACTGTCAGGAATTCTTCTGAAAAGACAGGCCTCATCTGAGAAAACCAAGATATTCCAGCAGAACTGTGCAGTGTGAGATCCCTCCAGAATCCACAGTGGAAAAAAAATTATCCTGGTGTTATTGGAGACATCAGCATGCCTTTTCTGCTGTGCTTGAAAAAAAAGAAGTCACCTGTGCCTTTAGGCAGGAGTATCTTCCAAAAACACACCCCTCCCATCCAGCAGAACTACCAGGCTTTGCTGGAGTCGTGCTTGAAGAACAAATGCTTGTTCACAGATGACACCTTCCCTGCTCACATCAGCTCCATTGGAACGGGAGCACTGCTAAAGAAACTGCCCCACAACTTACAGTGGAAGAGGCCACACGTAAGTGACTTTCAGTGAGTGCTGTGTGTAAGAGGATGATTACAGATGATAGCCAGCAAATAGTTTTAACATTGAACAGACTACTCTTAGACTTTAATTTAGGTGTACTTTAATGTCTCTGGGGATTACTTTTATTGCATCAGGTGTCATTTTGGAAGCTGGGGTACATGGAGTCTCATAATTGCCTTTGAAGCATTTGTTGCCCAAACTCATAACCAGCCTTGTTCAGTTTATATCCAGTAACACTTGGAGCAGGCAGGGAGAGGAGGAGAAGGAAGCAGGGAGAGTTGATTTCCTTGGAGCTCACAGCTACAGTGATCTCACTGTGATTCTGTGATGACAGATTAGATCCTTCTCCCCAGAATTCAAGATCATAACCTTTTAGAAGATTTCTGAGTTTCTAGACAGTTCTTAGCAATGACCCCTCTCTGCCATGGATCTCATACTGTTATGATGCTGGAGGCTGCTGCTTTCCCAGACAGGGCAGGTGTCTTATCCTCTTGTTGGGCTGGTTTTTTTTTTCCCTGCTTAGTCTATTGTACTTGGAATAATCTTTCCTCAGCTCTCAAGGCTGAGCTTCTGTCACAACCAGTGACAGAGTATCAGTCTGTTAGTTGGTTTTGGTTTTGAGGACTTTAATGTCTCTGGGGATTACTTTTATTGCATCAGGTGTCATTTTGGAAGCTGGGGTACATGGAGTCTCATAATTGCCTTTGAAGCATTTGTTGCCCAAACTCATAACCAGCCTTGTTCAGTTTATATCCAGTAACACTTGGAGCAGGCAGGGAGAGGAGGAGAAGGAAGCAGGGAGAGTTGATTTCCTTGGAGCTCACAGCTACAGTGATCTCACTGTGATTCTGTGATGACAGATTAGATCCTTCTCCCCAGAATTCAAGATCATAACCTTTTAGAAGATTTCTGAGTTTCTAGACAGTTCTTAGCAATGACCCCTCTCTGCCATGGATCTCATACTGTTATGATGCTGGAGGGCTGCTGCTTTCCCAGACAGGGCAGGTGCCTTATCCTCTTGTTGGACTGTTTTTTTTTTTTTCCCTGCTTAGTCTATTGTACTTGGAATAATCTTTCCTCAGCTCTCAAGGCTGAGCTTCTGTCACAACCAGTGACAGAGTATCAGTCTGTTAGTTGGTTTTGGTTTTGAGGCCTTTGTTTTTCTACTTGTGCTCACACTTCCAAGGCCTTTCCTGGCATTCCAGGTTTAAACTGAACATCACAACAAGAGACACCCAGGTGCAAGGGCTGCTCACAGAGCATGTTCTCATAACAAAAGGGAAGATAACAAGTGTGGGAGGCCAGGACAGGGGCCTGGCACAGTTAGATAAGGCTTGCTACTAGCAATGCCAGTTCTGCTCTTACTGAGCCACTGAGCAAAGTATTGACAATCAGATCCTACTGAAAGCAATGTACAGAATTGTGTGAGAATTTCAGAATTCCTTTGTCTGTAGGGAATTCTGCCAGGTAATACCAGATAGCATCTCCCTAAGTTATGCTAAGTTATTTTCTAGCTGTCATATTTTGTGAGATTTAAACAATTTCCCAGAAGGATCAAGTTTCTGAAAAAAAAAAAAAAAAAGATCAGCATGAGTCTTGGCCTCTACAAAGTTTTAAACAATTTCCCAGAAGGATCAAGTTTCTGGGAAAAAAAAAAAAAAAGGTCAGCATGAGTCCTGGCCTCTACAAAGCCCTTCAAGTGTCTCTCCATCCCTCACATATTGGAATGGACTTGAAATCTCCTCTGTATCTCAGTGGACTATTTTGCTGGTCTGCTGTGATTGTGAGGTGTCCTGTGTAGGTCCAGGAGCTGGACTTGATGATCCTGATGGGTCCCTTCCAACTCAACATATTCTGTGATTCTCTGAGTCTAAAACTGCCTTGTGAAGAAGGCTGCTGTTTGCTCTGGAGGCCAAACTTTCTGAGCAAAGACTCTCTGAGAATGGATGCTGTGCATCTCAGTTCCTGTGCTGCAGAGGAGATGCTGAGATTCTGCCATTCAGCCTGCAGGCTTGTAGCTTACTGCATCTATGAGTGATGGCCTGCAAACTGAACACCCAAACTCACCAAGGGCAGGGCTAATTACTGTGACTGCCTTCTGAGGGAAGCTGTTTCTTTGCTACTGCCTGCAGGGGAAGCCAGCAGTGTGAAACTTAGCTTGAGCAATTTCTGGGTCATTCAAGTAAAATATAATTTTGACACTTAGGTTATTAATTTAACCCCAGAGGCACTTGTGAAGGGAAAAAAAATCACCACATTATTTCTCTCTGTACAATTATTCACAGACATGTTCTTGTCACAGCAACAGGAATTCTGCAGCAGCCATCAGTCTGTAGCTCAATTGTCAGTCAAGCTGTGGAGATGTCAGCCAGGTTGGGTGAAAGTTTGATGCTCTGCCCTCATAACCTCTTTTGGCTGGCACTTGTGTGGAGGAGCAGGACTGGCACATTTGAAGAGTTACCTTCTCAGCATGGTGACCATGGAAAGCCATGGTGATGCATCAGAGCACCAGTGACTTTTGCTGGAGACCAAATTCAGCGTAGACCGAGCACAAATGTGTGTCCAGGCTGGTGTCAGGTTAGCCAGAGCACATAACAATAGATTTATACCTGAGCCAGAACAATGTCTGCTGGGACAAAGGACTCTCAGTATTTTAAAAGCTTTAACTTTCAAGCTAAACCAGCTCATGTTACTGGCTTAATTCTCTCCTCCTTTTTTTTTTTTCTTTCCTTTTCATTTTGTGCTTCCTAGGCTTTGCACAAGAGTCCTGTATTTTATGCTGCACACAGAAAGCAGCCTGATCTCTGCCAAGGATTGGTGGGTAAGGAAACTCCTTTGTATAACTATCTAAGTATTCTTAAGCAAGATAACATTTTGCATGGAAGTTTGAAGGTACAAAACTTGGCATGGAAATAGAAGGTATCCATCTCCTCTCTCCACTTGGCGTGGTGTGTATGAAGCAATCATTTACTGGCATAGGCTCAGTAAATAAGCTGGCAAGCTTCAAGGTGGGATTTGAGACATGAGAACTGTCTCTACGAGCTGAAATCCCCACTGTGTGTTGTTTCTGCCCATGCTAATAGGAAGTGTTCCTGTGCTCTCACTGATCTGTGGTGTTGCTGCTTGACAATTGAGCAGAGACCACAGAAGGGCTTTCTATTTGTACCTAATGCTCAGTGTGAGTGTGTTGTCTTCTCAGCCTTGCTGTTAGAAAAATAATTTTATGCCTGTGTTGTCTGAGCATCAGTCTATAATAAAAGACTGTATTGCCTTCTGAAAAACAGGTAGATGTGGGACTAAATTAGTTTTTAAGTGCTTTATGTCCTTAAAAACAAAGTTTGCTAAGTACAGTCTTGCATGTAAGATCCACTGGAAATTGGTTTATTTTCTGAAAAGCTAATGTTTTCAAAGAAAAATGAAGAAGTTTTTTTTAATAGTGTGCCTTCTTAGAGAACAGAAAAAAACCCCATGCAATGTCAGTAAAACACAGAATGTTTCCATTGACAGTTATTGCATGCTAAATTTCTTATTTAACCAAACAGTACCCAAATGGAAAGATCATGAGAGAGCAATTATAAACCAATCACGGTTTGGTTAAGTAAAGAACATGTCTGGATCATCTAATTTTGTGTGTATGATTTGTTATAATTGTAAAGACATCAGCACAACAGCTCTTCTGCTGGGATTGTGGTGGTGTTGCTGAACTTGGCTGAGAGCTCTCACTTTTCAGCCAACTGCATGTGTCCGTTTGTCTTGGCGCAGAGAACTGCTGGTTCCTGGCGGCCCTGGAAGCCCTGACATTCCACCAGGACATCTTGGCTGCAGTTGTGCCACAAAACCAGAGCTTTGAGAGGAAATACGCGGGCATTTTCCACTTCCGGGTACAGCTGCTCCCCCAGATTGCAGGAGGTCCTCAGATATCCTCTTCTGTGTTTTGTGTCACACCCTGAGATAATTTGTACGTGGTTCCCTTTGGCCAGGGGCAAGTGGCCAGAGGGTATCCCAGTCTGGAGAGGAGCCCATCACCCCTCCCACAAAGTAGCACAGGCAGTGAATCAGCTGCAAGCCACTGAGGAAACACCTCTGCTTGGCTGCTCTCTCCAGCTGTGTCCTACCCATATTTTAATGCAAACAAAACCCTTTTTCAAGAGTGGCAACAGTCAGCAGGACCTGAGCACATCAGCTCCAATCTTCTACCCCTTTGCCCACCTCTGTACAACTCTGCTACCTTGCAGTTAGGAATTCCTTCCCCATAAGCCCACCTGTGGCTAGTTTCCCTGCTTACTTGTTTTACACCTGATAGATGCTTTGTTTACTCCTCTGGCTGGGTGGGGCTGAGGAACTGGCTCTGTGGGTGAGTCAGCACGTCCCACTGACCCACAGCAGCTTGTTGTGTACCCACAGCTAGGCTATCTTGCCTTTCCTGTTGTTTCAAGGGGAGGTCCCTTCCAAGGGAAACATCAGCTCATTCCTTTCCCCTGACAGTTCTGGCACTTCGGGGAATGGATTGACGTGGTGGTTGATGATCTCCTGCCGGTGAATGAGGCCGGCGAGCTGCTCTTTGTGTCCTCAGTCTATAAGAACGTGTTTTGGGGAGCCCTTCTGGAAAAGGCATATGCTAAGTAAGTGACTCATTTCAAGTTATGCAAATAGTCTCTCTAAAATATGTTGGTTGGTGCCTACACAGTTTGTTCATGTTTATAAGTGCATCTCCTAGGCCTTGCTACATTTGGAGTGTAGTGGATGGCTCTCATCTGTCTATTATTACACAAAAGAGTTGCCATTGCTGTTATGTTATAACAGCTGTTATCAAACCAGGCCCTTGAGTTTAAATCCAAGGGTTTAGGTGAGAAAACAGCCCTATTGTCGGGGGTTATCTTCTGAATGTTATCATTGTTTGCAGTGTATTGGCTGAGGCTGATGCCTTCCTTGTAAATATCACAGAGGAGTGGAACACCATAGATAGACATTTTCAAATGTGAATGATTTCCAGAGCCTCCTTTTATGTGTTATCAGTGTGAGAAACCTCCAAGGATTTTCATTTTGGAGGTCTGCTGAAGCACTGCACTTTTTTTTGGCAGATGTTTTTGCTCTCAGGTCCTCGAAGCTGAGGCATGTCACAAGTCATATGGCATGGTGAGAGCAGTGGCTTCTCTCCAGGGTGTTTTGTCTACAGTGGTAGTGTCAGCACAAAGAAGAAAGCTGCAAGGCCTAACTGATGGAGTTTGTTAATATTTGGCTGAAATAATCTTTGCAGAGCAGGGGAGAATATTCTAGTTAACACTGAGAGAAAGATGACACAAAGGTGAGAATGTTCAGTTACTTTCATTTGGTGTTAGTGTTAGAATGAAAAGACTGGGCCAAATTGTGCTGGAGTGATAAAGAAAATCAGATTAGAGACTAAGCTCTCAGGACAGTGTCTCTCAAGGCACTATATTTTAGATACAGCACAGTGTCTGGTGATAAATTCAGGCAACATTCTGTAAGGCAGAGTTATCAAAGAGTCGTGATGGGCATGTTCTCATTAGAGTGCAGTGAGGGATGACAGCTAGTGAAGAGTCCCTTTCAGACTATGGCCAATCTTGGAGACAATTTTGTAGATTTTCCCCTTCCCAAATGCCAAAAATTCCCTTAAAATGAAACATGAGTTACAGCCTTCCTTTTTCTTTTTGCACACTTTTAAAAAATGTTTTCATTGGCAACCTATTCTCAACCTGTCATTTGTGATGATAACACAAAGAATATATTGGTTCTTTTTTTGCTAGACTCTATGGCTCCTATGAAGATCTGCAGATTGGGCAAGTTTCAGAAGCCTTGGTGGATTTTACAGGGGGTGTCAATACAAGGATCAAGCTTGCAGAAGCTCCTCCTGATCTGTGGAATATACTGACAAGAGCCACCTACAGCAGATCTCTCATGGGCTGTCAGACACACTTAGGGGTGAGGCTTGGAGTGACATCAAAAGGCTTTACAGCTAAAAACCTTTCCAGACCCGTTTCCCTCTGCTCAACTGGTCATTGTGACTGAAATGCATCAAAGCTGCCCTATGTGGCTTTCTGTAGAAGTCACATTCTTCATGTTAAACTTTGCTCATGGATTGATTCCCTCATGCTCTCAGCTCCCTGTTGTAATGTTGAGGAACTGGTTTATCTATCAAAGAAACTCTATTGAATAGAGATCTACTGCATTTTCCCATTTTTGTTAAATAAATTTTCCATTTTTACAGATGGTGCAGTGAGGTACAGACACATATGGAATAAAGTTATAGCTAAGGTAGAGACATGGATCATTCAGAGCATGAATTAAAGTCTTGGCTTCCAAGCTTTATGCTACCACCTCAGCTGTTGGGAAACTCTGCTTTTCTGAAAATCAAAACCTAACTTCCTGAACTTTCTTAAAGTGACATGGTCTCTAGCTGAAGACCCACTATTTAGGAAGGGCCATTAACAATCAACCTTCCAAGACCAAGCATACTGAAAACTCTGGCTCTTAGGAGGTCCCATTTATTTATTTTCAGTTCTCCTGTTACTTTGAAAGTCATTGCTTACACAAGTACAGGTCTCTGGTATTGGTATAAGTCTGCTGTATGAGTAAGGATAGAATAAAAGGTTTCTTTTCCTTCTGTTTCTTGTATACAGACAACAAAGGTCCTGAAGAATGGGCTTGTTGCTGGCCATGCCTATACAGTAACTGGTATTAGAAAGGTAAGCCCAGCTCAAATGTCCTGGGTCCAGGTTAATTTGGATATTAGCAATTTTTATTGCATTCACAGGTTCAAACATTGATCGAGCAACTATAATATCTCCTCCCTAAGAATACTCTTTTCTTAGTCTAAGGCTACAAGAGACTGTGAGCTTTGTTAAGATTCACATTTTAAGTGTGTCCATTTTAATTTGGAGGCCTCGATGTAAAGGACAATTGATATGGATCAGTGTATCTCTAAGGGTTGGAATGATTCATAGGGCTCTGCTGACACCATCACCTAGAAATGCATCTTAGCTGTTAAGAATGAAAGGACTGGCCTTTGGGGCTGCTGGGAGGATGTGCTGAAACTTGGGGATGTGCTTTTTACTTGGGGTAAGAAGCCTTTCTCTGAAGCCAGTGGAGAGGCCACAGAGAAGTAAGTATGTAAAGGCCAAAATATGAAAAATTGCAGATGGAAATGTGAGTCAGGGGTGTGGATAAAGGGAACTGACCTGTGGTCCTGTACAGACAGTGCAGGGGGACCCTACTAATCTGCAGAAGTACTGTTTGGAGTCCCGTTAGGATATCTGTCTAGAGGTAAGAGACTTGAAATAATATGTCCCAAAGAGCAGGAGCTTCTTCCTCCTGAACTGGTGGATGACTGTCTTGTCCAGCCTCAAGAGGAGGTTGACAAGGATGGCAAAGACTGTGTGGGGCTTTGGACATTTTGGTGAAAGCATGTTCAGTATCTGTAGCAAGAGATACTAGGAAGGGCAGAAGAGATGTGCTGGATGAGGCACATCTGTGTCTCCCGCAGGAGGAGTTTTTGTGTGGAGTTTTTCAACAATGTGTCTGTCAGTCTGGCTCCTCTGATGAGATGAAGAGCCAGGCAACCTTATGGGACTGACCAAGCATGTGGAAACAGTGTGAAGTCAGCTGTTCTGCTGTGTGCTGTCAGAAAAGCCTCTAATTGGCTTCTCCTTCCATCATGGCATCCCAGTTCAGGAAGCATTAATCTGGGTGGTCACCCATGGGGGCTGCATTGTGCTGTGCCATTGCACTGGGGTAGGACTTGGTTTTCACATGCATACAAAATGAGAAGCAGGTGTTGGAAAGGAAGAGGAATTTACAGTCAAGCCTTTAGATTAGGAATCTGTCATGTCTCTGGTTTCAGTTTAGAATGTAAGATGAAGCACCTTAATCTCTTTGTTGCTGGCATTTAGAGCTGCATGTTCAAAGATTTTTTATCATCATACTTTCTGGCATCTATGAGGACAAACAAAATTGTTGTTCATATCTGACATAGTACAATGATATTAACCAGATGAGAACTGCTGAGACCTTGGTAAGCACAATGTTACTGTTTTCTGCAGGTGACCTGTCAATATGGACCTGAAAACCTAGTGAGACTGAGAAATCCATGGGGAAAAATCGAGTGGAAAGGAGACTGGAGTGACAGGTGAGTTTACAAAAGGAAAGGTGTGACACTGAGCAGAGGAAAGGTTTCTTGGAGGAAAGATGCTGCCATCTTCAGGCATGAATTAATGTTGAGGGCAGCAGTAAGATGTGCTCACTTGCACAGACCTTCTGGTGTCAAAGCAATGACTCCATAGATTTATGTGTCTCCAACAGACAGTGCTGCTGTAGCTGGCCTCACTTCACACATGCAGCCTCAATCAGATCAGTTCTACTTCTCCTTTCACTAATGCCAGAGTAAATATAATATGAACATGAGATGCTGACCACCTTGCTGTGCTGTGGAGAGTGTGCAAAGGGACAGATAGCTGTGCAGGAGGCTCTAAACCCCCCCCATGTTTCAGGACACAGTTGTTGAGCATGGGAGGGCCCAGGAAAAATCTTCCACAGGCTGCAAGGTGTTAGAATTGGATAACTAGGAAGGAGTTCCCTGTCCTGGCTGCTCAGGTAAATACAGTTGGGCAAGAGATCAGGGGAGGTAGTGAGGTAAATGGACTCCATATTTGCATCTACCTGATTTTTTTTTTATTGGGACCCATGAAAGACAGTGGTTTGCATTCTAGACCATGGACAACTGTAAACTTGTGTCCTGCTCCTCTTTGAAGAGGAGCATGTTTCTTGCTTCCAAGCTTCACTTCATTCCCTGCACAGGCTGTTTGCTGAGGCTCAGGGCATAGAAAGGAGGGAAGAGCAGAGAGGTCATTGGGAATGTGAATGGCTTTCACCTTGTCTGCAGAGCAGTAACTTCTCTGATGCATGTCTGTCACATAATGACAACACACCAGCTGTTCTGTTGAAGAGCATAATGAGCAACATACTGCAGGCCTGCCTTTGAAATGACTCCCAGCTGCCTCTTGTGCTGTCCTAGTCATTCATTCATTATGCCAAACACTCTTCCTATTATGTCTCCTTTAACAGAAAATTAACCAACAAAGCGTGTCTAGAGTTTTATATTTTAAGTACTTGGAAGTTGTGTGTTCAAGTGAAGGGAGTGGTTGATGGAAATGGAACGTTTTTGGCTTCTAGTGCAGAAAACTGGACCCATTTAGCTACATCTCATGGGACCCAGGGTGGTCAAGGAGAGTCTCATGTGGCTAAAGGCATAGTGGGGATAAGCATGGAGATATGTAGAAACAGGGATTTGGCCTGTTTTTATAGAGGAAGGTTTTGTCCTCTGCCTTGAATTTGTGGCCACATTTGGTTAGTCACCTCATGTTTTTCCCCTTAGCTCTTACAAGTGGGAGCTGCTGAGCCCAAAGGAGAAGATTTTACTGAGGAAAAAGAAGGATGATGGAGAATTCTGGTAATGGCACAGTCTTGCTTCCCCCCTCTTTCCCAGTACCCCTGGGGCTGCACCTGGAGCTGGAGCAGCACATTGCCACTCAGGCCAAGGCAGAGGTGATGAGCTTTAGAGCAGCCCGTGCTCCTCTCAGCTTGATGCTGTGAGAAGCAGTGGCTGTGCTGACATGGAATGCACTGTTCTTCAGTGCAGCAGTGAGAGAGAAGGACATTGCTAGGTGTCCTAGGGCTGCTGGAGGTAAAGGGCAGCCCCAGGAGCTTTTACCCTGCTGCTTTTTTTTTTTTAATTTTATTTTTACCATAGCTTCGGGAAGCTCTTGTTTGCATGTTTGTCTGAGGTTTCTGCACAGCTTTTGCCACGAGGTGGCAATGTTGCCGCCCCTGTAATTTCACTACACTCCCTTCACTGGCAAGATTATTTTATTCTCTGTTTCTGCTATCCTTTGCTGAAGTTTTAGTCGTGCATTAGCTACTCCTAGATGCTGCTGTGGAAGCAGACGCTCTCTCCTTTACTGCCTAATAAAATATGAGCATTACCATATGTAACACAGAATGGTGTGGCTTCAAAGTTCCCCACTCCCTTTTCTTTCTGTTTTATGAGCCATATGGACTGAACTAAACTGCTGACAGGATGTCTCTTGGCACTCTTTTCCCAGGATGTCTCTGCGAGATTTTAAGATTCATTTTGTAGATCTGGTGATCTGTAAGTTAACTCCAGACCTGATGAGCCAGGAAGATGGGAAGAAGTGGATGTACTCCTTGAAGAGTGGGAGATGGGTTAAAGGAAGTACAGCAGGAGGAAGTCTGGGATTCTGTAATGGTGAGGGATGCCCTTTTGGATAACTCTGACTTTTGGATGTTCTGCTGACTCAGTTACCAGCTTCTTATAACCTTTAACATAAAATTGATAACAGAAACATGCACTTCTGTTTATGCCTCCACACAAACATCAGAAATAAGCAGCTGAAGGACTTTGACTGGCTTCTGCTATCACAGAAGATGCACTGCTTGCAAACATAGGGCAGTGGGCTGATTATAGCATGAAATAAGCTTTAGGATCCAAGGATCAATTGCCAGTACTGATCTGCTCTAGGGCATTAAACTTGTCTGTTAAAATTTGCCTCCTCAGCACCTCCAGGGAGTATGTTTTAAGTAAAGTGAATAAAATAGTCAGAGGCTCAGCTCTTCTGGAAGCAGAGCAGGTGGAGTCTGAAGTCAGCTAGCCTATACACCAGGGGTGAGAGAGGAATAGTGATACATTTATAAACAAAATGAGCTCTTAGCTTCATGTAAGCAGAAGTATAGTTCCTTGTTCATGGGTCTTTCTCCTGTCTTAGATAGTAGTTGCAATACTAAACTTGTAAACTGCACCTTAAAGTCCAATTCCTACGGGGTCTGGAGATCCAGACAACCTGTGACCTGTTCAGTCCAGTGCCAGGCATCATGTGGGAAGCTGGCAATCAATTTTGTGATGGAAAATGACATCAAAATGTTTTTCTTGTTTTACTTAGGCAACTTTTGGATGAACCCTCAGTACTGGCTGAATGTGTTGCCAGTTGAAGACAGTAAGAAAAGCCCAAGTACGTGCAATGTGGTTATATCCCTCATGCAGAAACACAGCACCAAACACCGGAACCGAGCCCCTCACCTTTTCATTGGATTTTTACTCTATAAGGTGCAAAAAATTGCTTTGCTTTTCTTGCTCTCACCAAACAGGAGAGCCTCCAGCCCCTGCAGATTGTAGTGCTCTGCAGGCCAAGAGTTATTGTTGTGTGCAGTGTGATCTCTGCTCTTTCCTCCTGCCTGTGCCTGGTCTCCTCACACATCAGGGCTAGGCTCCCTCAGGCTCTGTGCCCTGCTTGCTGCCTCTCCAGCATGCTGTGTGTCACCCTGCAGAGCAGTGAGAAGTGCCTTTTGCTTCAAAGTACACTGGGATTTATTTTGCTGCCTCTGAGGGTATGTGCAATCTCTGCAACATGGTCCCCTTACTTTGGGGTAGAAGAGCTCTGCCCTCAGGTTATTTCCAACCATGGCAAAGTCGTGCCTAAAAAGTGTTCCTAGTATGATGTGGCAGCTGCTCATGTGTGCATACTTCTAGCTCCCCATGTACCCAGAGGTGAGTGGATATCACTAGGAGTAAGAGTTTCCTACCTTCAATTCTCTGCTTATCTGAGTACCTTGAGGGCCACTCTTCTCCCCTGAACAGAGCCACAGGTCTTGTTGCTGCTGTAAGCTTGCACAGTTATGGAGAGGCAACTGTGGGGAAGGGGTTTTGGGTGGGGGGACTGAGGTTTCTGAAGGCAAAGACCCCGTATAGATGTTTGTAGCTGCTCTGCTTCCCAAGAATGACTTGGCTGTGTTTGGTGAGGCACAGAGGTCCTGACTGACAGATATTGTTTCTTTTCTTCCTGCAGGTGGGCCTACAGGTGAGTCCCTTGTCACCACTGCTGGCTGTTGTCTGGGGGACCTGGCTGACACAGCTCTAAAGACAATGCTGAATGTGGTGTGTGTTTGCCTTTGTTCCTTGGCTGACAGTGAGTGACAGTATTTGAGCTCAGTGAGGCACCACAGCAAGGCACTCCTAATGCAGAACCATCCTCTGACTCTACTGAAGAGCAGCCATATCAGGAGAGCTCATTGGCCTTGACAGTGGGCATTAGTTGTTCAACTTCTGTCCTGGGTCTTCAGAGGTATTAGAAGTAGCATCAACCTTTACCTGATGAGCACTTCAGCCCTGCTGCAGCTGTGGGATGGTGCCCCAATTCGTGGCTGTGGTGTGGGAGTCAGAGCTGCCTTTCTGCTGCCTTCCAGTCTTGGCATGAGGTGGGAAAAGAGCCCGTGCCCTATGCAAGTCAAAGATCTCCTAAGGAGCTCAGGTTCCTGGCTGAGCTGGTGGTACAGGTGTTTTTCCTCTTCTTCAGATCAGCTGCATTTCTAGCATTTTCTTTATCCAAGAGCCTTTGGGACCTGAGAAAGGGCCCTGGAACTTAAGTCCTGATTAAGTCTCAATTTTGGCCCTGACCTCAGAGGGCTACTTAAAACAGGGAAAGATTTAGCTCATACTGTCTTTAAAGGGCATATCTTCCACTCTGTTACTACTCAAATGAGATTACACCTCTTAAATGAGAACTTGGGCTGGCAAAGAGCTAGTTTGGGTATGTGGTATGGGCAGCACCATTGTGTTCCTACTTACTGTAGACCCAGTATGGTAACCATGAGGTAAGATGCCACTCCTTCCTGACTTAAGTATCTTGGGCACCATCAGGGTTACCTTCAAGGTAAATTTTTCTGGCAGAGGGGGTCTGAGTGTGGCCTTAGCACAGAGCTCTGCCACACCTGAGTGGGAATGGTGGCAGCCAGGACTTCAATTTCAGGTTTGTAGTGGTTGCCAAGATCAATATGGAGAGAAGGCAAGCTGAGAGCATCTGAGGTATTGGAACTGCTGTCAACAGAGTATTGACTGGAATATAAAAACTGAATTTAACATAAGGGGCATGAGGAGGAGTAACCCTGAACCCTTCATAAGAAAGATTGCCCTATTAGTAAGAAAAATACTGGCAAAGGAAGAGGAATAGCATCTCCCCATGAGGCTGCAGAGTAAAATGGCTAAATGTTTTGAGGAACAGCCAAGATCAGAAGGTGACGGTAGTTTTAGCTAGCAGGATTATTTATTGGGCTTGTGTACTGGGCACTCAGTGGCATTAAAATTAGTTTCATGTTGCCTGGATCAACACTTTATCCATCATCCTGTGGCAGAAAAGGGCCTGCAGAGCAAAGAGTGCCAGACAGATCAAGGACACTTGCATGAAGTCAGGATGAGGGCTTAGGTTGCTCATGCAGTATGCTCAGATCACAGGTGTTCTGAAAAATCCTCTGCTACCAGATTCCTTGTGCAAATGACAAGCTGGGGACAACGTACATGGTCCCTGTGGGAAAAGAGCTGCTCTGGCTAGTGAAGGGCAGTCTCTAGAGCAGTTCCTTCCTGCAGTCATTTTAGCCCATATGGCAAAGTCTTTTGCAGAAGCCACATTGACAGGAACAGCTTCTTGTCCCCAGTTCTTGCTGCTGTTCCTTACAAGTAGTGTAAGTTTTTTGTAAGTTGCAGGAAGCCCAGTCTTTTGCCATATTATTATTGGACAAGGATGCTGCATAGTGAGAACCACCATATCCTGAGAAGAGACTGAGCCCTTGGGCTGTGTTACCTGCTTGTGCTGTAAAACAGGGCTGACATGTGAAGGCAGGCTGGCTGTGCCCTGCCTGTGAATCCTCCACATGCCTTTGGTCCATGTGTTCAGCTGCAGCAGAACACAATTCTCTTACCTTTCTTCCCTGAGCAGTACCAGGAGAGCAACAGAAAGCTGCCCCCAGGTTTCTTCACCCGACATCAGCCTGTGAACAAGCACCAGGTTTTCCTTGATGAGCGGGAAGTGACTCACGACTTCCATCTGGAACCTTGTGTCTATGTGATTGTCCCATCCACCCTGGAGCCTCAGCAGGAGTCTGAGTTCATCCTGCGGGTCTTCTCCAGGAAGCACATTCTTCGGTGAGATGCTGCTCTGCCAGCCCCTAATACCCTGGGAAGGTCTGGTCTTTCTAGTCTAATGGGGCCAGAATAAAGACTTAACTCTGCAAAAAACATCACAGTCAGAGAAGGTGGCTCTGGGTTTCTCCTGCTGTAGGATTCTCAGAGGTTGAAGCACTGGTTTTGCCTTATCCTTTCAAAAAAGGCTGAGATAGGCCCACACAATCCTTGCAGCATGCACATGTTTGAGACTGTGAGAAGGATTAGAGTTCTTCAGCTTTTTAGCCCCTTTAGTTTGCCAGGAACTCCCTGCTGGCAATGCTACGATGGTTGCTTGTACAGAAATGGGTGCTTTGGATACTTTAAATGCCAGCAGCTTTTGGGGTCCTGTATGGACATGAGGCCTTGCCTTACTGCAGCTGTAACACCAGAGAATAAAACACACAGCAAGAGCAGGCTGGAGCCCCATCCAGGGAAGAGGAATGACACCTGTGGTGAGACAAACAACTCTGATCTGTCCTTAATGTGTCTGCTTTTTTACATCTCCAGGGAAATGGGCGGGAACACGAGCTTCACCCTCTCTAAGGTGAGGGGAGTGGGGGGTCTGTGGTTCAATCTACAGCTCTGAATGTTGGGCTTTTACTGTTGCTCTTCCCTAGAGGAGAGGCTGAGTGAGAATGTCAGTGCTTGTGTTGCAGCACTTGGAAGCACAGCTTGGGTTTACAGACAGAATCCTTTGGGGACAGATGCAATCAAATGTGGGGGACAGGCAAAACTTTAGACAGCTTAGTTGCCCTTTTTGCAAACATCTTTTAATGACACCATCTTGCTTGCTCTAAAGTCTTTCCTGTTCATGGCTTTTTGGAGACTCATGGTCCATTCTTGCACTTCTCCCCATCCCTTTCAGGCCTTAAACATTTTGAAGACATTATGGGACCTTAGCTCTACTATTCCCATGCAATGGCCTAAAGGTTATTTTCAAAAGAACTGATCTCGGTGGCAATGCATGCACATCTGCAGCTTGTGCTGGGAAATTTGTGGCATAGTCTGTTCCCCTGGCATAAACAGGGCCCTTCCTGCTTTTATCTCTTCTGTTGGGCTGTATAAAGGAGAACAGAGACCCTTCTCTCTTCTTGGCACAGAGTGAGCCCCATGCTTTGCACAGCTTGGGGTGAGAGGAAAGTTTCTCCCCACTAAATGTTATCTTAGTATTTCTCTCCAAGAAATAGCAGTTCTGTGATGTAGGGAGGTATCTTAGCAGCAGGCTGTATTAGTGAGGTAACACTGATTGCAGTGGTGGGCAGAGGGTGGAAGGTTCAGGGGGTGGAATGCCATGCTGGGAAAGCATCTTTAATAATTTGGTTGACAATATTTTTCTTCTGCAAGTTAATGATTTTTTTTTAATACCTTAAAGGAAATTGTTGATAGGTATGAAGGCAAGATTTGGGAGGATTTCTTCACAAAGCATTTTGAACAGGTAAGTGCTTGCCTGTGTAAACTCCTTCAGAACTGTTATGTAGCTCTGTGACAGTAAAAGCATGTGGAATTTCAAGGGAGGTCTGTGGATGTGTGGGGAGCAGAGAGGGGCTATGCAGAGGAGGCTGTACTCTGTGTACAGTGATGACTCCACACAGCAAATTTGCCTGTGAAGCTTAGCAATGTGATAGCACTGAGACAGGCACACTTCCCTGCACAACAGGGTGTCAGTGCCTGGAACTTAATGGGAATGTGACAGTATCAAGAGGCTCAAAAGGCATTAGGAAACTGATGGGCAGAAAGTCCATAAACAAATGCTAAAGGACTGAGCAGGGATGTACCCTCTAAGATCACTTTTCTAACAGGGAAACAGCAGAATGGACTACAGAAGCTAACCAGGCTCACATGCTCTCCTTAAACATTAATTCCTGTTGCCTGTGTTGGGGACAAAGCAATGGGTTGTGTGGCTCCATCCTATCCGTTGGGGCATTCTTATGTCCATTGGGGAAAGCTATCTATTAGAGAACACCCCTGAAATATTGAACTTTGTCTCACACATACTTCATCACAGTGGGATGGCAATTAACCTGCTTTGAGATGTGAAATAGATATTGGGTGTCCCATCATATTTTCCCCTAATTTTCCTAGTGAAATATGATCCTTGCTGTGGAAAATTCTTTTTAGTGATTTCTCTGGCCTGATTTGAGATGGAGCTGACCATCAGGGATCCCACTGACTGTGGGGACAGATGCAAATGTTTCACCTTTCAAAAAGGTCACTGCATTTATTTAGCATCATACCCTGTATTTGCCAAACACAATTTCACAAAAACAGATTTGCACTTTTAACAGGAATATTTTGAAGGAATCTGTTACTAAAAACAAGGAATGCTTTCACTTTTTGCCCCTTGTTTAAGATTTTGGGGTTGAGAATGGTGTGGCTTTGATGTGCTAGAAATTGCCACATACTGTGAGGAGTTGGTCCTTTGCTGTCAGGATGTCCAAGTACACACAGAGGCACCTACTGCCATTTCTGAAGGCTTTACCCTGGCATCTCTCAATGATCTGAAAGCAGGCTTTTATTTTTGAAGAGTGACATTTAAAAAAACCCTCCAAACAAACGATTGTCACAGCTTCTAAAAGATTTATAAACTTTTGTATGACAAGGGGGAGAGGGAGTCTCTGCTTTGAAAAGTTTGGGGAGAAGTATTCCAAAGTTTCAGGTTGGTTTTTTTGTTTGTTTGTAAATGATAAAAGGGGAATGTTTGAAGCAGATCTCTTGATAGTGTGCTTGATGGGACAGATGGCACCAGGCTGAAAGGCCTGCATCCTCACTCAGTGGAAATCTGCACTTCTGCACTGATCTGTGTGGAGCCCTGAGAACTTAGCCCAGAGCACACTGCAGCTCTTGCAGGCTCAGAATCTTGTCATATTCAAAGGGAGTCTTTTCTATTGATTTTCACTGTGGCTGGAGTGGGGCCAGAACAGAGAATGAAGATGGGGCATGCTGGGAAAACAAAAGAGGGAGAAAAGTGATTTAATACTTAGAAAAAAACCCCTAAAATTCTCTTCCATATCACAGAATCCTGAAATAAATGCTGTTCAGCTCCAGAGGATCTTGAATAATATATCTTGGAGAAGTAAGTGCTGAAAAATAATGTTTCTGTAAAATAAGTTCTCTCAGAGAAAAGCCTCAGCTCCTGAATCTATTTCTTGAATTCTGGGAAGAGAAACTGGCTTCAATCTGACTGAACTGACTCTTCTGATGACATGTTAGATTTCCAGAGCAAAAGGATTTGCTGGGGTGTGAATCAGTATGGCAGAAATGTTACAAGCAGAGCTAATCTAGTTTGAATTTCAACAACTGAAATAATGAGGGAGAAGAGGAAGCATGGATGCAGATTCTTAATTTGGCCTCCAAACCTGGCTTGACCTCAGCTTTGATTCTGAAACTGTATCTCATTTCAGCCTGTGCCACTGCCTCAGTCTCAGCAGCACCAAACTAGAAGATGTGGAAAGCCTGGTCTGTAGGAATTGGTGTGGTGGAGGAAGGTCTTGCCTTTACTTTCATGTGCTTGGTCCATGCTGCTGTTGCTGTTTACTGCTCCCTGCTGGGCATGCATAGGGCTGCCCCTTGCCTTGTTTCTGGGGGACAGGATGAGGTGCAGGTGGCCTCTGGAACCCATGCTTGTGAGAGCCAGGTGAGCCCTGAGCTTGTCCCTCTCAGGTGTGGCATCCATTCTGCTGAGGGCAGCCCAAAGCACTCCAAGGCTTATAATTTGGGCCTTGGTAACAAATAACACTACCTGGGCAGCAGTGAGGCATTGCAGTAGCTGTTCTCTCTGGACAATGACAATGAAATTACAGATATAATGACAAATTCAGATTTTTTTCCTGGTTTCTTCACTGGTAAAAATCAATATGCAACATAGAAAATGCTCCATCCAGCCATTACAGGCAACAAAAAAGATGATCAAAAGAGTGATGTGATGCCTTTTTCACTTAAACTGAATTTGATATTACTCTCTTTTCTACAAAAGTGGGCAAGGAGAGTTCTTCTCTCTTTGTAAACTCACCCACCAGGCACTGTCTTATCTGTGAGAAAACAATGTTGAACAGGGAGTCTTTACTTTTAATAAATTATTGATTTTAAGAATTATTTTCAAATCTTTACAGTACTTGGTTCATATTTACTAAACAGAGCTATGACAATATTAAAATTATTATGGCATCTGGACTTCCTGCAGAGAAGGGATTGGTGAGTTATGATTCTGTCCCTTGTTCAGTGGAAGGTGCAGACCAACAGTAATCATGATTTGCACTGAGATTAGAGCCTATTTCTGTTACTCTTCATGTAAGTTATACATGAACCAGGAATGCTAAGCTTTGAGGCAGCATCATGTTTTCAGCAGTGCCTGTACTTTTAATTATATTAACAGAGCTGGCAGTGTGTCTGTGAAAGAGAGGGAGAGAGAGAGATGCTTAGTACAAGGGTTTCAATTAATCTGCAGTGCTGTTCCCCAAAGCTCTTCAGGTCAAGTGACTTTGCTCAAGGTCATGCAGTAAATTCTGTTTGGGATTAGAGCTTTGGATGTCCTTTTCCTTCCATTTTCTCTAATAGCTGAAGATAGTGTACCATATTTCATTCTATATTACATGCCTGCAGGGAGCTCATATTGGATTTTCTGAGACTAGTAGAATCCATCCTGTTGCCTCATATTTTTATCATCATAAATGATACATCTTCTCAAGTGGGTGTAAAGTTTCACAAAGGCTTTGGGGCCTGAGCCCTCTCAAGTAAGGGAGAATTTTGTGAGAGTCCATTTTTCTGAGAGATGTCCAATGACTCCCCAAAACAATTTTTTTCCTCTCCAGATTTCCAGAGTTTTCGCCTGAATTTCAGTCTGGATTCCTGCCAGGGTATCTTGGCACTCCTGGATGTATCCTTGTCATGAGTGATACTTCTGACTCATATAATACCTTACCAGAGCATTTTTTCTTAGGCCAGACTGGGTGTTACTGTGATTTCTTTACCACCAGGACATGGCCCTACTTATTGAACTTCTCACCCTCCATAATAACAGTTCAGCTGTGACAGAATGGAGCTGGTTTGGGAAAGGGTTGATTCCTGCTGCTTCTAAAATCAGCAGCCAGGTTTCCTTTGACTTTAGTGGGAGGAGGATCGAGTCTATAAATAGGCACATGGGCTAAGAAATCATTATCCTCATATGATAATTGCATGGATGTTAAGAGTGGCTGCAAGTTTTTGGGTTGTTTGGGTTTTTTTGTTTGGCTTTTTTTTTTCATTTTTTAAATATATGTATATATATGTAAAATATATGTAATGGGTGCTTTCTAATATTTAAGATGTTCTGACCTTAATGCTCCCACTTAGCTGAATGCCACTGGCACACTGAGTATCCAGGAATTCAGAGTCCTGTGGAAGAGGCTGCTTTTCTATTTGGTATGACAGTAATTTCAAAATCTCCCTGCTCACAATCCCTTTGGTGTCACCTGTTGGGTTTTGGGTGGTTTGGTTTGTTTAAAAGTACTCCCTCACCCCACAGGAAGTTTTCCAGAAGAGAGACACCAAGAGATCAGGAAAGCTTGACCTTGTGGAACTGCATGCAGCTGTACAGGAGACAGGTGAGCCCACAGCATATTTTGGCAAGTCTCATCTTCTTGCTCATGAAAGCTGAAGAAAAAGCAGAGGGTTGGGAAACATCTTGATAATTGTGTGTAGAGCTCAGGAGGAGTGCATGGCCTTGGCTATGTCTTCTTCCTTCTTTAGCTGGGTCAACACGTCTGAAAATGATTTTGCCATGGGACAGGCTGCCCACTCTTTTCTCAGTGTGGTCTCACACTGAGAGTTGTCTGAAACAGAAGTGTCTGCCTGTTTCACACCCAGTTTTTAAATCTCTTCCTGTGTGTTGCTAATTGAATTTTAAAAGATGTTGTGGGGATGCAGCAGGCCAGATCTAGCTCCTATGAAATTGCTGCCTCTGCTGAAAACGACAGCTCAGGGACCAAACCTGGAAGTGTGGGACTTTCCTGGAGGCTGTATTGTTGCTAGACTTCACTAAGCAGTGTTGCTAGCAGTGTCTGAGGCTTGATCTAGAAATGGAAGATGATCCATATGGGTCCAAATACTGGACTGAGCTCTGCTGCTATTGCTGGGCGTTGTGTGGGGGCTGGAGCTCAGTCTTGTAGCTTCCTTTGCATGATTACACCTTAAATATCATTCCTCTTTTTGGGGCATGTTCACCCAGTTCATCTGAGTCAGTGAAAGCTCAGTGAGAAACCCAGGCAGACCTCTGCTAAAGCAAACTAAAATCCCAGGCCATGAATAGAGAATGCTTTTGTTCCTTGCAAACGCTGCTGCTGCTTGACATTGGGACTGATTCTTTTTGTATGAGCTTCCTCTGGATTTTCTTTTTCATCTCCTTTCCTACTCTCTTGGGAATATTGCTCTTAAACCCAGCTGCTGCTATTACCCTCATATCCCATGAGCAAAAGAGGCCTATTTGTATTTTATTTCAACTCTGGAAGGACTGTAAATATAGGGGAGCAGACCCAAACTCTTTTAAATTTGAAGAAGGTATCTTTGTGTAGAAATCTCATTTGGGCTGGCTAATATTTGATTATCTTAGGCCAGGCTTGAAAAACAGAGCTGTTGGAGAAGGGATGAAGACCACTCAGTTGTGCCATCTCATTTTGTGTTCCTTTTCTTTCCCCCCATTTTATATAGGCATTTCACTCAGCAATGAAGTCTGTAATTTGATGGCAATCAGATATGGTGACCCTGACTTACAGATCAGTTTTGAGAGCTTTGTTTGCTTCATGCTTCGAGTGGAGATCATGGGAGGTGAGGCTGGTGCTCTGTGTCTGGCCAGGCAAGCTGGGCTGCCAGCTGAGCCATGGCCCCTCTGATGCTGCTCCCACTGGCAGTGGCAAAATTGCAGGACTGGATTTCTGAATAAAGCAAAAGTAACCAGTTTAAAGCAAGGGACAGATACAGAGGAAGCCAAGCTCTCTCTTTACCTCCCCACCAGTGCCTTCCTACAGACATCCAAGCTGTCATATCAGAGAGTGATTAAGCTCTGCACATTTGCACTGGCCTTCTGTAATAAGAGGTAGGCAAATTACAGACAAAAACTACTTGTTTTCCATGAAGCAGACAACTTTGAAATACACCTTTTCCAGGAAGAAGAAAGCTTTGAAATATGTCTTTGGTGGACTGCAGTTTGATGATGAGAGAGCTCATACTCAGACCACTCTGCAGACACTTAGCACATGTCTCATAATTGTAGTGGGTAAGGTTGGGATTACCAGCATTTTGGGGTTGTACAGGTGGATGAGCAGACAGTAACATGCCTGACTTTATTCAGCTGCTCCTAGTGTTCCAGCCTTCAGGGATCCCCCAGGGACAGAACAGAGAAGCTCTGCACTTGAGAATAGCCTACAATCTCTGCCTTTGGGGTTTTTCCTGAGACAGTGCCTTGGCTGTGGTGATCTCTTGGCTGTGAAGTTAACGCTCCTCATTTGCTTCTTTTGCAGAGGCCTTTCGCAACCTAACACAAGATGGCAAAGGGATATACCTCCGGGAGTCTGAGGTAAAGCCCATCCCCTCACTCTCAGGTGCAGGCCCCTTGGTTGCATGTGGCACTGCATGGTTTATTCTGTAGCCTTAGAAAAGATATCTTTAACTGACCAGGGCAGGTTACAAACAACAAGGAGGTTCAGGCTTCTAAGTCTTGCTTTATTATGGCTTCTGTTTCTTCTGGGGGCAGAATATCTCCAGTGCCCATAGTCCAGTCTAGGTGTGAATATGGCAGGGCTTTCACAGGGATGGATTATTTCAACCCCCTTTCCATATTACTTTCAGTGGATGATGATGACACTTTATTCCTGAAGCAAGGCTGTCGAGGAGGAGACAACCAGACCGGTACCAGGATAAGGAAGGCTGCCTTCTTTCAACTTTTTACTTCATATGAAAAGTCTTCCTCAAGCAGACTTAACATGATAACCACAGACTTGGTTAACTGAAGTTTTACTAATTAATGTATTTATTTTGAGTCCTATTTCACTTCAGACAACCGTGCTAAGGAGAGACCATTGGATGCCAATTACCACAAGTGACAACCTGGAGCATGGTGGCTGAGTTTTTGGGGTCACCTACTTCATGCTTATGTAATGCTGCTGTTATAGGCACACATTGTGGCAGTGCCCAGAGGCTGTGCTTGGTGGTGGGGCTCTTGAATCTGGCAGGGAAAAGGCCTCTGTCCTGAGTAGCTTGTTACCTGATAGAGGGATCACAGTTCTGTAGCTGCTAGGCCCATGATAGAGAGCTGGAATCTGTGAATTTCTGAGAAAGAAAGAGACTCACAGAATGAATGAACACTCTTCCCTAGCCCTGACTTGGAAAAGTGATTTGCAAGCATTTAAACCATCTCTTTTGCTTTTGTAAGTTAACACAGCCGTATTGAAATGGTCTTGATTTGATTTGACCAAGTGATGAGCTGAGTCTCCAGCTGTTTGTTGTGTGATGATTGTGTATTTATTTCAGAAAGGCAGTGAGTTTTCTCTGCAGATTGAAAAGTACAGTACACTGAAAAGTAAACTGATCCCATATTAAGAGACTAGCAAGGAATTAATGTTTTCAGTAGGGTGATACAGGAGCTGTCTGATAAAATATTTGGATATTTATTTTCTATAGGATATGTGTGTGTGTGTACTTCTAAAGGATGCAGGTAAATGTGGGTTGTAGCTAATTGAATAGTACAACCCAGGTGCATGGCTGTGAGCAGCATTAGAGAGCGTGGTATAAGTGGGACTATTCACATCAAAATCCATGAGAGAGTTACTTGATGCATCAGTCTCTAGGATCCTTTTCCACTTTTTTACCATTCATTTATTTGGGCTGGAAATTTCCAGGCTAAGTGACTGTTACAGGTTGATGCTTAGATGTTTTTTCTTTTTTTCCCCTTTTTTTGCATTCCTGCAGACAGCTCAATTGAGGCTCTTTTACAGTGCACAGCCTAGTCTGAGTCTGGGTGCTAAATGAAACAGAGCTCCAATGGGAATGAACATATAATGAAACATTGCACTCTAATACCTTTGTAGGAAGGAGTCATATTAAGCTTGCTTAGGCAGCCTTCCCTCTGGCTTTTGGTGACTTTTAGGTGCTTAATCTCATAAATATTTTTTCAGAGTGCATGTGATATTCAGGAATGAGGTGGACTGTGGATAAGAAAGTGAACATGGGCATGACTGAGCTCAGGCATGTGCTTGCCACTGCACTGAGGCCTGAGCAATAGTATAAGCATATTTATAGAGGAACTCCTTTGCATATAAGTGTTCCCAGTCAGGAGGCATTAAGCAGTAAAAACAACAGCATGCACTTTATTCCCCAGAACAATCTGTTTCTAAGCAATATCATTTTCATCCTGTTTTTTATGAGAAAACTGTTAGAACCAGATAAATAGATGGCTGTGTTGGTACTTGTTTATTACAGATGATATATCTATCATCTATTGGGAGCGACGTGCCGGGGAGTCACAGGGTTCAGACTGTGGAGCAGAGCAGGTTGGAGGGAGCAGGGACACCCAGAGCCCCTGGAGCAGCTGAGGGATCCGTGTCCCACTGGGCTCCCAGAGAGGCTCCGTGTCCCGCCGGGCTCCTGAGGAGGCTCCATCAGCAGCTCCCTTCTCAATGCACGTTTCTGTTTCCTTTTGTGACTCGCAGCTGAACATGATGGTGCAAACTAAATTAGCCTGATTTAATTTGCACTCAGCTCAGCAGGGGATGTTATAAACACTGATTTACTGTGTGCAGGAGCAGCGTTGGAAGAACCAAAAGCATTGGTTGAGGGAGCGTAGGTCCCGCTTTTCTCAGCATGTTTTGGAAAGGATGGTCCCTGGCACCCGTGGGAGTGTCCAGGGGGATCTGTGTGAGTGCAGAGTGTTCACAGCAGGCTCTGTTGGACACGATGGGAGGGAAATCTCTCAGTCCCAACTGTGTTTGTTGCACATTTAGGGCTGGGAGTGTGATGGGCGTAGCTCCGCCACAGGCTGTGTGCAAAACTGGTGCAGGACACCCAGTTTCAAATTGCAGTTCATTTTAATGTTGTACACATTGTTTTTTCTATCAGATTTTGTACTTATTTACTTCACACCTCTTTAATGCAGAGAGATGTAATTGCAGGGAGATTATTTTGCTATTGATTACTTGATCCAGGAAAGAAACAGAATTCATCCATGCCATGAATCACTAAACATTTGCAGCAATAAACTTTATTGAGCCATGTGACTTGCTGTTACAGAATTGTAAAGAATCCTTTACTGGAATGATTATACCAAACCATGTACAATTCAAACTGAATTATCTGGCTCACAATAAAATGTTTTTGGCAAGGGCACCTACTCGGACACTGTGAAGCTTTTATATTGCTAACAGAATAATGTTTTCTGG